TTGGTTCTGCTCTCTAGAGAATTCTGACTAATATGGACATCTGCCAAAACCAGAAAATATAATTAATAAAGAAACATAACACCCTCTTTGAGATCAGGAGCAAAGAGAAAGGTGTCCTCCTGTGCAGTGGTCCAGCGTCCCTCCTCTTTAACATTGCACTTGTTTTTGAGTCACCCAGCATGAGTGAAGAAAAAAGAAAAAAAAAACTGATGATGTAAAATAGGGGAAAGTGCACAGCAGCATTATTTGTAATAGCCAAAACCTGGAAACAACCCAGAATCCCATCACCTGAAGAATGGGTAAAGAAAATTACACAAAGGTCAGTGGTTTAAAAAAAATTATATCCTGAAGATTGCAGGCAAATGGATGGAACTAGAAGAAAAAAAAAAAACTCCTGGGTGAGATAACCCAGACCCCAGTTGACAAACATGGTATAAGTTCACTCATAAGAGGATATTAGATGTACAGCAAAGGATAACCAAGCCACAACCCACAATCCCAAAGAAGCTAGGTAAAAAAGGGGGAACCCCAAGAGGAACACACATGGAGGGTCCCAGAAAGTAATATAGTTAAGATCTCAGGTAAAAGGGGGGGGGATGGGGGATGGAAACATGAGGGATCAGGAAGATCGAGTCGGGGGAGAGGCCGAGGGGAAGAGCAATGAAAGAGATATCTTGATAGAAGAAGCCATTATAGGGTTAGGGAGAAACCTGGTGGAGAGAAATTCTCAGGAATCCACAGGATGACCCCAGCTAAGACTCCTAGCAATAGTGGAGAGGGTGCCTGAACGGGCCTTCCCCTTTAATCAGATTAGTGAATACCCTAATTGTCATCATAGAACCTACATCCAGGAACTGACCAGATGCAGTGACCCACAGTCAAGCTCTGGGCTGAGTTCCTGGAGCTCAGTTGAAGAGAGGGAGGAGGGATTATGTGAGTTAAAGGGAGTCAGGAGCATGGTGGAAAAACCCACAGAAAAAACTGACTTGAGCTAGTTGAGAGTTCACAGATTGTGGCTTGACAGCTGGAGAAACTGCATGAGACAGAACTAGACCCTCTGAATGTGAGTGACAGTTATGTGGCTTAATATGTTGGGGGAACTGACAGTCATGCCAGGACCTATCCCAGGTACATGAACTGGCTTTTTGGAGCCAATTCCCTATGTTGGGATAACTTGCTCAGCCTTGATACCGGTGTAGGGGGACTTGGTCCTGCCTCAAACTGGCATCCCAGACATTGTTGACTCCCCAAAGAAGGTCTCACCTCCTCTGAGAAGTGGATAGGGGATCGAAAGGGGGAGAGGCAGGCGTGGGAGAAGGAGAGGGAGGGGGAACTGGGTTGGTATGTAAAAGAACAAAGAAGGGACTGGGAACCAGATAAAACCTTCAAAGGCGTGTCCCACTGAGGACCCATTTCTCCAGGTGGACCCCACCTCCTAAAATTACCACAACCTCCCAAATACCACCACAACCTAGGCACCACGTATTTGTCAAGCCATCCTGTGGGAAACAGTTTATATTTAAACCATAACACTGTAAGACTATGTAGGTGAGGTAGCTAGAGCAATCAAATTCACACACACGGAAAGTAGAGCTGTGCACACCCACAAATGCCGGCGAGGGCGTGTGATGAGGGGTCCTTTACACTGAATTCTTCTATACAAGTGTCATCTGGATATATAAACAAGCGCAGCCAGTGGAGAGTCCTCAAAACCAAAACAAAATTAAAGCAAAGCAAAACAAACAAACAAGAACTTTCACAAGACCCAGATGTACCACGCCTAGATTGACATCAACATATCCCAGGAACACTTGCGCATCCATGTTAACTGTGGCACTAAACACAAGGACCCAGTGTACAGCCAGCTGGAATGACCATCAACAGATGAATTGATTAAAAAATGCTATATAAATATGCAGTGGCGTCTTTTTCTGAAAATGCCCCTTGCTTTCAGAAACTGAACTTTGGCAGACCTTGCCGACTGCCTGGAGATCATTTAAAACTACCCTCAGTCTGTTTCCCTATGTTGTAATCAGCCTGCTTTAAGTTTAACTTGCCTTTAAGAAAACAGTGTAACCAGCCTTGCATGCCTGGGTTTCCTGTATATAGCTTTTACAACCTAAGCTAAATACATAGTTTTAAAAACCACGTGCTCTTCTATACCCCTGACCCAGAACAATGAATGTGTGTGCTGTGGTAACCATTTGCTGAAAACAGACAGCATGTTGACAGACTCCTTAAACAAAAGCAAACATCCACCATACATGTTGGAAGCAACGTGTGGATGTATGCTGATAACATCTGTGTGTGGTTTTGAGAGCTGCTCTGAGTCCGTCAAGTAACTTTTTCCCTTGTAAAATTCTGTTAAAGATTTCTGTAGAAAAGAACGCCACATCCCTTTCCTATACTATACTTTCTATGGTGTTCAATAAATAGAGAGGAGAGCCATTTGTTAGGGAGAGACAATGGAGAAAGATATCAGACATATGAGACAGACAACCGGCAGGCCATAGACCACAAACTAGAGTGAGAGAGAAGACATGGAGAGAGCAGTGGAGAATCCAAATTTGGGTTTTACTCTTGGTCCAAGGGAAGACTCTTCTGATTCTTGTTTGGTACTTAGGCAGAATTGCATATGCTATAACAGGAGTGTGGGTAGATGGTTTAGTGAATAAAGTGCCCGTTTCACAACTGTAAGGGCCTGACATCCTGATCCCTAACACCTGTGTAAAAGCCTGGTTCGGCAGTGCAAGTCTGTAACTCTTGTGCTGAAGGGAGGGGGGGGGGCGGGGGGGGGCGGAGGGGGGAGTAGTGAAGGCAAGGACAGGCAGATCTCTGGAGCTCAATGCTCAGTCTAACTACTGGGTGAGCTTCCGGTTCAGTGAGAGATCCTGCACGGTAGGTTTAATGAGAACAGCCTCTCCCATATATATTTGCTTGAATACTTAGCCCAAAGTTGGTGGAACTATTTGGGAAGGTTTAGGAGATGTGGCCTTGTTAGAGAAGGTGTCTCACTGGGGGTGGGCTTTGATATTTCAAAAGCTCTTATCTTTCCCAGTGAGCTCTCTCTGCCTTGCACTTTCTCAAGACGCAAGCTCTCAGCTACTGCTTCAGCATCATGCTTGCCTGCCTATTGCCATGCTTCCCACCATGATGGTCATGGCCTCTAACCCTCTGAAACTGTAAGCTCCAAATAAGCTCTTCTATAAGTTGCCTTGATTGTGGTATATTATCACAGCAATAGAAAAGTAACTAAGACACTTTATGTCTTTATGGGAAAAACAGCAACAACAAAAGCAAGGTGGAAATGGGCCAAGTAAGACACCCAACATTGATCACTAACCTCCACATCCTCATGGGTGTATGTGCACACACATACTATACACACATGCAGGCATGTATATAAATAAACAAAATTATGTCTTTTGCAGGGAAAGGAAAAGAACTGGTGATAATCATGACAAATGAACTAAGGCAGCACAAAGAAGATACTGTATGTTTTCTCTCATAGTGGAATCTAGATTCAAAATACATATGACATGAAAGTAGAAGGGGGCTGTTTATGCGGAGATAGCAGACTAGAGGGTGAGGGAGATGGAAGGGAATGGGACATATGTTTGTCTTTCTTACAGGAACTCAGTTTATCAATGTAATATATGAGACACAAAAACAGAGAAAGGCAATTTGGGGGGTGAAGGGATTGAGGTTGGTGAGAGGGTGAGCATAAGGGATTGCATTTGAAAAAGTCATGAAGAAAACCATCATAGTTTCTTAATGAGAAAAGATGGGGTTTGTCAGGATCTGGGGAAGTGGCATGGGGAGTTGCTGTCTAACCGGGGGCTGACTTTGTGGTGATGAAAATGTTCTGGAGGTGATGGTGGTGGTGGTTATGCAACAATGAAGATGTGCTTCAGCCCACGGAAATGGACACCTAGAAACTGCTAAGTGTTATTTGTGTGTGTGCACATTTAAGACAGCTTCTCACACTGTTTGAACTCAAGCCTCATCTTTGTTACTCTGTTACTTTTGTTACTTTCCCAATGCTAGGATTACTGACATGAGCCACCCCACTAAATGGTGAGAAATGTGATGTCGTGCATATTTATCACACTTTTGATATGCAGAAGTCATGTTTCCCAAGAAGAGCTTTTCATGGAAAATAGCCCAGAAACATTTCATCCTGAAGGCGAGACTCTCTGCTAAGTAGAGCTAACTTACTACCTAGATCTTGAGAGTCAGAGTCTTCCACAGATGATATGTGAAAATGGCATATCATTTTTAGGAAAAGAGTCACCCATTTTCATTAGGATGTCAGAGAGTGTGATAAACCAAAATATGACTGGCAAGCCTCTTCCCATGCTGTCCTTGCCCGCTCATCTCCTATTGGCCTTTGGGTGTGGCCCAGGCTGGACTACTTGGCTCCCGTCACCAGCCTCCACCTCCATCCCTCTCTTTCCACCTTCTTCTGTCCTCATCCCAACGCCACTTCTTTCTTCGCTCGGGCTGTTTACATTCAGTGGGAAAATCTTTCCTTGTTGATTGAGGTACATTTTTTAAAAAAGTAGGTGATCATGATTCTGAGATCTGCAAAACTTCAGGTCGGTTCACTTCCCTGCACGGTTTGTTTAAAAAAAAAAAAAAAAAAAAAAAAAAAAAAAAAAAAAAAGCCTGCTCTGGCCTGCAGCCCAGAACAGAGAAAACCCCCACTGCCCATCCAGTGACAGGGTTCTCCAAATTGTATCCAAAACTAAAAGTCATAGCCAACTAGATTTTCCTGTTGAATCAATATTTCGCATTTAGCTCAGACTGCATTTTAACAAACAGAGATCTCCTGGCTTTCACTCCTGCTCTGCCTGAATACTGACAGGATTCCTGGAGCGAATAGAGAGGCCCTCAGTTGGCATGCCAACTTCAAACACAGAGGCGATTTGAATTGTCAGAGCTCACTTTTCTCCCAAGCGAATTCTGATACTTATCTTTTCGAAAAAAAAGAATGCTTTTATTTCTATTTTTAAATGATACACATTGTTATGAGCATGCACGAAATGCAAAAGGCACGTCTATTCCTCCTTCCTTTAGCCCTTGGTGTTCGCACAGTGTGGGTGGAGAAGGCCTCCTGAAGCAAGGCGCAGGCTCTGCGGCACCTCAGCAAGGGACGCTAATAGTCGTCATAGTTGACGCTGGCCCCGTGTCTGAAGCTTTCTGGGCTGCGGGGACCGATGGCTGCATCTTCATCATAGTGACGCTGATAGTAATCACCATAGTAGTCATGTCCATTTCGATTTCTGTTCATCCAATAGTTGACATCATCTTCAAATTTCTGGAAGAAAGGAGAGTGATGAAGAAGGGATTTAAAGACACACGCTCCCCTAAAAACACATGAAAAACACGGCTTTTCTCTAAGTGGCTTTTCTTCAGTGATTGACAACCAGTGTTATGACAGGTGCATGTATAACATTTTGTTCATGGGTTAATCCAGCCTTAGGATGCCAGGTGCATGATTAATAAAAACTCAGAGAGAGAAATTGGGGTTCAACCAGAGAATTCAAAAAGCAAAACAGCCAGCCACTGGCTCTTACCTTTATCTCAGTCTGAAATGGCGACCCTGCCACCAGGAATCTCTAAATAAGTCTGAGACTGAGAGCTGTTTCCGCCTGTTTTATATTCCTCTCTAGTTCTGAGATTAAAGGCGTGCACCACTTGGATTAAAGGCATGCACTACTCGGTTTCTCTGGCAACTAGTGTGGCTACTGGGATTAAAGGTGTGTGTCACCACTGCCTGGTCTGTAAGGCCGACCAGTGGGGCTGTTTTACTCTCTGATCTTTAGGCAAGCTTTATTTATTAAACTACAAATGAAATGCCACTATAGATACCAGCATGAGCACCCCCCACAAAGGAATCTGTGCCCATCCTTTTGATAATCTCCTCCACGCCAATCTTATCACACCCTACCTTGGAACATTTCTCTCTATATAAGGTAAATAAAATGTGTGTCTGTCATACACAGTAACCGCTTGGCTGGCCCTGAGGCACCATCCACATTACCGTGGCAGGTGCCTTCCTATCCTCCTGGCCTGTTCCTATGCTTGCCATCATAGGAATTCAATCAACTGTTGGCATCTTCCAGCTCTGGGGGAGGGCATCTGGGACGCCCCAGGTGGTGTGCACACCTGTGTTCTTGGTTTGTGTGTGCACCAGCCCGAGTGTGCACTGTGTAAGGTTGTGAAGTGGATTGTGGGTGTCAGGCCTTGTTGTAGGCACTGAAGAAGGCCCAAAGCAAGATTAAAGAGTCCCGGCTCACAAGAAACCTGCATTCTATTGGAGAGAGTTATGAAAGGTCATAGAGCCTGTTGATAAAAATGGAAAGGCAAAGGGAAGGGACCAGCAATTAATAAGGCCTCCTCCAGCGGCTGCTCGTTGCTGTGAACCGCCTTTTCACAGGGGAGAAGAATGTTTCTCAAGTGTTGGTGAAAGTGCAAGATGAATTGTGACGACAAGGTGCACATGTTGATTTCGTGTGAGGATGAGGCCCTGGGGATGTAACCTAGGCAGATTAGAAATGGGAGCAGCCTGAGCAGCCTGGGCCGCAGGCCGTGACTGGGAGACGCTGCACCAGAACACCTCTGAGGCTGGGGGAAAAAAATGCAAATTTTCTGGTGCCTTGTCAGCCTCCAGAACTGAATTTTCTAGTGGCTGGGTCTCAGGAATCTGTTTTCATTTTCCTGGAATGGCCAGAGAACCCTAAATAAGGAGCAACTCCGGCTTGCACTGTTTTTCGTCTTTGTATTAGGATAATGTGAAGGAGGGGTGTGTGCATTCGGTAGGAACCACTGTGGATTCTGGGTTTGGATCCTTTCCCAGGCCAGTGTTGTGTAGGATGAGACTCTGGGGGATGCTGCCGTGAATCGGGGCTGCCAGGTGGCCCCTGACGATGTGTCTAATCTAGGAGGGTGGTAAAGTAGATGTGCTGGAGATATTTCAGTTTGTAGTGACTCCAGTTTACCCTAAGCTGAGGGTCGTCTCTCCTAAGACCCCTGTGAGGCTGGGAACACTAAGTTGGGGCCATGTACAGGGGCTCTGGGACCAAATGGCCACCCACTTTGGATAACTGGTAGACCCATCCTGTGTACCCCTCACTCTGGGCCACTGATTCTGATTCCTCATCTGTTTGATGCCCAAGACCCTCATCTTCAGAGCCACCCCAAAACCTCCACCTCAGAGAGGAGGAGGCAGGCATTTTTGACTCTCTGTATATTTAGCCTAGTTTTTTTTTTTCACAATGCTACATAATTTGGGTCAGAATAAAATAATCTTACTGCCTGAGTTTTCTCATTTAATAAGGTTTGAGATTCTGGCTTCAAATATGTATTTTAAATCTGCTTTAAGGATTTTTATGAGTATAAAAAATAAGACAGGTTCAAATTTGACCATTCAAGTTTGAATATGAGCCAGGGCCGTGATAAAGCAGGATGGTGCCTTCCAATGCCAAAGACCACCGCTTATGGCATCTGAGCATAGTTTCTTGTGGTCTTTTTCTGCAAATTTAATTACTATAGCCTTCCTCAATCCTCATCTTTTATTGGTTTTGTTGTCAAACTTTATGTTTTAGTCATTTATACCCATATTAAGAATGTTTTAATGGTGGTAATAAAAGAGATAAAACCACTTAAAGGTATGATATTTTTATCTACCAAATAAAAAAATATATATGCACTTAAATATTCCAAACACAAGATGCTGCCGATGAATCTAGAGCATGGGTACTCCCCCCTCAGGACTTTGGGGGATGTGCGACTTGACTATCGTAAGAACCTTTCACTGTGAGTTTACCTGTTTCCCAGTAACTCCACCAGGCAGAACATGGACCTTAAAAAGGAGCAACTGACACATAGCAATGTCCCTTGAGTTGGGGAAATTGCTAAACAAAGATATATTTGTTTAAGTACTTTGTGTCACACCTGACACAGAGTTTGGCTTAAGTAGGTAGCTACTTGCACACAGCAAAAGAAGCCTTGTTTTTGAGTAGCAAAAGTACGTTTAGGGACTGACAGCTGTGTGCAGAACTGGGAACGGAAGGGAAGGGATGAGGCAGCTCATGCTTCGCCCTGTACTGCATTGGAAAGGAAGCATTTCTACCCAGAGCGGGATGTGGAAGACCCTCTGTGAGCCACATGTCGATTTAGAAAAAAACATGTTTAGCTACCCGACTGTTAATGCTCCCTGGGAGGCAGGCTAAGCGGTCCACCCTGGATTCCTCAACCACTCTGTGGACAGTCTCCAGTGAGTAGAATCTAGAATATCTCTCCTGCTGCCTCTTATCTGTGCCTGTAGCCCAGATGACAATATGTGACTTTCAACAGTCCCCTCTGTTCACTTACCAACGCTGCCCACTGGTACTGCCCCACCCACCAGGGCTGCAAACTCCCTTGGCCTTTACTCACAAATGTGTTGATGAAATTTCCCCTGAACATGTGCAAGAACCACCTCTCTTTAAAGGTCATTTTAAGTCTATTTTCATGACCTTCCCGAGTCCATAGACCCATCTTGTGTCAGCCATTTCTGCGCAAACATGACCATGTTTAAGTGAGCTGTCTTGGTGATGCCCAGGCGAAACTGGACAGGAGGGCTGGAGGAATTTCTAGGAAAATGAGATTCAGCAGGAATCTGGGATGCAGTTCTTTGGCCCACAGAGTCCCTGGATTCCTCCTTCTCCATAACTGGCTTAGCATGCAGCACAGAATGGGCTCAGACTGTCGGGATAAAAGCACTGTGGTTGGCTATGTTTTGTGCATTCCTAGGTCCCCAATGTGGCAGTGTTGGAGAGCTGGGATCTTTAAGAGATGAGGCCCTGATGCAAAGAAATTAGGTCATGAGATTTTTACCTTTTGAAAGGACTAACCCTGTGGCTTCTCAGAGTGGGTGAGTTCTCCCCAAAACTGGCAATTGTAAAATCAAGTCAGTGGGTATCTTGGTTCTCACCTAGAACATCAGTATTTGGGAGTTCAAGGTCGGCCTTGGCTACATAGTAAGGTTGAGGCTAGAGTAGGCTATATGAGACTCTGTCTCGATAGAGAGAGAGAGAGAGAGAGAGAGAGAGAGAGAGAGATAGACAAACAGATAGGTAGAGAGAGAGAGGTAGATAGATAGATAGATGATAGATAGATAGATGATAGATAGATAGATAGATAGATAGATAGATAGATAGACAGATAGGTAGAGAGAGAGGTAGATAGATAGATAGATAATAGATAGATAGATGATAGATAGATAGATAGATAGATAGACAAACAGATAGGTAGAGAGAGAGAGGTAGATAGATAGATAGATAGATGATAGATAGATAAATAGAGAGATAGATAGATAGATAGATGATAGATAGATAGATAGATAGATAGGTAGAGATATAGATAGATAGATAGATAGATAGATAGATAGATAGATAGATGATAGATAGATAGACAGACAGGTAGAGAGAGAGAGGTAGATAGATAGATAGATAGATAGATAGATAGATAGATAGATAGACAGACAAACAGATAGGTAGAGAGAGAGAGGTAGATAGATAGATAGATAGATAGATAGATAGATAGATGATAGATAGATAGACAGACAGGTAGAGAGAGAGAGGTAGATAGATAGATAGATAGATAGATAGATAGATAGACAGACAAACAGATAGGTAGAGAGAGAGAGGTAGATAGATAGATAGATAGATAGATAGATAGACAAACAGATAGGTAGAGAGAGAGATAGATAGATAGATAGATTGACAGATAGACAGACAGATGCAGACAAATGAGGAAAGAAAATGTATACTTCCTTCTTGCTTTATCTTAACACATACTCCTGCTATCGTGACACTATTTGCCATGTTGTTCTCACTAAAGTCTCTACTGTGACTTTCTATTCTTAGTCCTTCAGAGCCAAAAGCTGAAAATGAACTCTTGAAAGTTCCCCACCTCGGGTGTTTTGATAGCACAACAGTCAACAGAGGGAAATAAGACTCACAGTTTAACCTCCTAGGCCCTCTTTCCCAGGTCAGGCCTCTGTCCCCAACAGCCTGCCCTGTGGTGTCCAAGGTCCCCCAGCAGGAAAGTCTACCTACCGCCTCATCAAAGCCCATGTACAGGAACTGCTGGTACCATTGCTGCACCTCCGGCCGGGTGCGGTCCCACAGCTGTCGCTTGGCACGCTTCAGGCCACCCAGGAATTCCTTCGCCGTGTGCTCAGCCACAGCCACGTTAGTCTTGGCTGGAGTAGGTTCTGAAAAGATCAGTTCCCGAACACAGATGATGATTTATTTCTTTTTGAGAACAATATTCACTTTACTATTAAATTTTTTCCTGCTGTGTTTTTAAAGATTTTTTTAAAGAAATTTATGTGTATGGGTGTTTTGTCTGCATGTGTGCCTGTGCCCCACGTACATGCAGTGCCAGCAAAGGCCATAAGAGGGTGTCAGACCCCCTGGACTAGAGTCAGAGACAGTCATGAACCATCGTGTGGGTGGTGGGAATTAAACCCTGACCCTCTAAACTGGCAATCAGTGTTCTTAACTACTGAGCGTTTCTCCAGCCCCAGGCTATTATTAGATTTCTGATGCGGTGTAACAATCCCTGTGTTTTGAATTGATGCAAAGTATTGTACATATTTATGCTATCCATATGCAAGGATCAAACGGGATTAATTGGCATTCCCTCCCCCTTAAATGTTTATCATTTCTTCCTGCTGTGCAGCTTTAAACTCTTTTCTAGTTCATAAAATGTGCACTGGGTTGCTCTGAGCGGCAGCCACCCTGCTGTGAGGCGGCTCATTGTAAAACTTACTCCCCTGTGCCTGCTTGTTAGCCAACATCCCCACTCCACTCCCTCCTCGGGCTCCACTGGAAGCTACGAGGGAGAAGCAGAAGTGATTAACGATCACACGGAAAACCTGGCTCATATTTCCGGATCTCTGTGACACCCAGTTTTAGAGAAGGAGATGAAGACGGGGGAGATGGTGTTCACTAGACAGCACCATGAATCTGTTTGATATAACTGGAAACAGAGGACTGAAAGCCCACATTGCGTGACTTCCAGAATGTTCTACTTCTATGTCTCTTTGTTGCTGTCTATATAAGTTGGGAACTGTTTTTTTTTTTTTTTTTCCAGCAGAAGTTAGTAATAGAAAAGATTCCTCGTTGGGAATGCCTTTTCCTACAGCTGAATAGGCAGAGTACCAGCAATGCATTCTGAAACTACTCCACCAGGTAGGGCTAGTGTCTGCACCTCAGATGTGTTTCACTAGTCTAAAAGGACTGACATTTGATTAACACTGTCCCACTCTTTCTGAGTCCCCACTGGCAGCTCTCAGAAACACAATTGCCAAACATCTATAGGTAGTAATATTTATCAAGCAGAATGCCACGCCACATACCCACAGAATAAGTCTCCCAGATCTGCAAGCCTTAAAAAGAGCAAACACTTTCTGATCTTCCAAGCAGGAGCCCTCCAGCCCCAGGCTACTGTCCACTGCTAGTCCACTCCTTGCAGTTAGGTGGGGTGAACACACCCCTTACCTTCCTGAGGCCGACTTACCTTCCCGCTTCTGCAGCATCTGCTTGAGTTTGTTTCCATGTACGCCACCTACGTAAACAAACCAGAAAGCAGTTTCACAGCCCAACATCCCTAGAATTTGGACTTTGTTGAGCGCAAAACTCAGAGCTGGATATAACAACCGTGGACCCCTGGGCTGGTTTAGTCGATCTGTATAAAAGTATCTAATCGGTTTTTGGATACTTGCCACACGAGAAAAGCAACGCATGGTGTCTGGGCTTCATACTGATGACAGTGACCACAGATGGCAAGCGCATTACTGCATGAGCTGCTACTTTGGAAGACAACTTTGTAATCTTAGTCCTGATGCCTTACTGCAAGGGGAGGTACTTATCACATGCATCTCCCAGCAAACATTATCTTCATGGTGCAATAGGTCCTACGGTGCCCTTGAATTTATAATACCCTGGGAATAATCACTTGAGAATTTTGGAGGTAAACTTATTTGAATGCAAGGTCTTTGTGGCGGTTTGAAGAAAAATAGCCCCCATAGGCCTATATTAGGAGGTGTGACTGTGTTAGAGTAGGTGTGGCCTTTTTGGAGGAAGTGCTATTGGGAGCCTTAAAGGTCCAGCCTCTAAGGCTTCCTCTCAGCATTCCAAAGGAAGATGCGACGATAAGTGAAAGGAACTTGCTGGAGCCTATGCAGTGCATATACAGCTGACAGATTCATAAAGGCAAACCTACAAACAGACAAGAGGTACCCCATTTTGAAGAGCTGAGGGAACACTTGTCCTTTGGAAAAGCCGCTGCTGTATCTGTGGAAACCTTGTGAAGCCATGATGCTCCCTTCAAAATGGGATTCATTCCCAAAACACCTCAGCAGGGTGACTCCTCCTGCAGAGGCCATGGAATGACCTTGCTTCATTCCCCCACACCACGAGGTCTTAGAACGGCAATATTCACTCTTTGTTCTAACAGTCAAGTTTACACAGAGTCAATCCCACAAAATTATCTGCTAAGAAACCACATAGAAATGTCTAAAGAAGACAGGCCCTGAGTAGGAAGATAGCATGCCCCACCTTGGCTAACAAACAAATCTGGGTATCCCCAAGGGTGGTTATGACTAAAGAGACTGGATGAGGAGAATGGGTGAATCCAGGATTCAGGGACATTTAGTCACCTTATCTAATGGTGTGGAATGTCAGGGATTTCCCTTTGGATGCTGGCTCTTTCCTGGATAGTGTCACCTGTTCCTGTTCCAGAGTGCCGCTTTGTCAGGTCCTACCTGCCCTTTTTTGTGATTTTGATATGCATATTATCATTGTCTTCACCTATGGAATTTCCCAACTATGTCTGTAAAAACCAGAAACCTCATGGAGATCACCCCTTATTCTTCTTCTCCACGTCCCTTCACTTCACCCTTGCATGAGAAATAAAGAAAGCAGAAGTTGCAGGGGTAATGTAGTTGAGTTAATTTTCACCCTCAGATCCTCGCTTGCCATAGACATCCAATTGGATATCTGGGAATATCTGAAATGGAATGCTTTTGCCTGGACCCTAAATACTGACCAAATGCCTGTCAATAAATATAACTGCCCGAAGGCAGATCCCTGCATTTGCATAGGAGAGAGGAACAATTGCCTGGCAGGGGAAACTGTTTTCACGAGTAACTAGGGGAATGTAATCAGTAAACCCCCAAAGCACAGGAAAAATAGTAACCAGTAAATGATCTAATAGGTCTGAACTGTGGGAATTAATTCCCAAATTTGTAGCAAAAGGGGAGTCAGCTACAGTGAAAATCTATAGCAAAAAAAAAAAAAAAAAACAGTCACTTTATTCACAAGGCAATAATTCCAATATGCCTTGCATCTTGGTTTAAATATCCAACCAAGTCTTCTGCTCTGATGGGTCTCTTCATGAAAAGATGGTTGAGTAACTGCTGTAAAATGTTGTGACTTGTAGCTTAGTGTGTCGCTGAGGGTGGGCTTTGAGGTCTCAGATGCTCAAGCCAGGCCCAGTGTGTCCCTCTCTCACTGCTGTCTGCCCATCCAGATGTAAAAAAATCTCAGCTCCTTCTCCAGCACCATGTCTGCCTGCATGCTGCCATGTTTCCCACCATGATGATCATGGACTAAACCTCTGAACTGTAAGCTAACCCCAGTTAAATATTTTCCTTTCTAAGAGTCGCTCTGGCCATGCTGTCTCTTCACAGCTCGAAACCCTAATTAAGACAGTCTTCGCAGGTGCGGTTTGTTAAGGATCTTAAGATGGTTCCCCACCGGACTCAGGTTGGGCTCTACATACCATGATGCAGATGCAGACAGCTGGGAAGCCCCACGAGACAAACTCGGGCAGAGATGAGGCTTATACGGCAAGCTGAGGAACATGCCATGCTTGGGTCTTAGAAATAGCTGCGCGGCTTTGCAACTTTCTCTGATTTTCCTCCATTCAGGCTTTATCGGAGGATAGGGGAGAGGTAGGGGAAAAGCAGGGGAAGAGGACCAAAGTATGGAAGAAATGGACAGAATGAAACCCATTACTCTATATAATTTTAATACTAAGAAAGAAAAAGAAAACGAAGAATGCCAATTTGGGGTTCTGAGTGCAGCTCAGCGAACGCTCATTCAGCACGATGAGGCCTAGGATCAATTCTCAGCGTGGCAAAACAACTAGAAATCTGTTCTGTGTTTGTCAATAACACATTACTAAGGCTGGAAAAAAAACCTTTTTAGTAAGAACTCTTGCATAAATGATTTACTGTGTTATCAAGGAGATAAAAAAGTCAGTATTCAAAGCCAAGAGTCAGCATCTTGGAGTTCTACCAGGGTGTGCATATGATTGTGTATGTGTGTGTGATTGTGTGCTTGTGTGTGTGGTTTTGTGTGTCTGTATGGTTGTGTGTGTGCATGAGTGGTTGTGCGATAGGTTGTGTGTGTTAGTGCACCTAATACTCACCACCTTTCTGGGTCTGCGTCACTCACACTATGCACAATCCGTAGAGAGCCTCCCCTCCTAGCCTACTATAGCATGGATATGAGTGTTGCCAGCTGACCGCCAGGATAGCAGTACCAGAGTTCTCAACCTTCCTAATGCTGCAACCCTTTAACACGGTTCCTTACGTTGTGGTGACTCCAACCATAAACTTATTTTGTTGCTACTTTGCAACTGTAATTTTGCTTCTTTTATGAATAGTAAAGCAAATACCTGATATGCAGGATAGCTGATATGAGACCCCCCAATGGGGTCATGAGCCACGGGTTGAGAATCACTGATCTAGAGAACCTGGGATGGAGTAGGGAAAATGCTAGAACTTACTTAGTACCTCCCTTAGGATCTTACGGCTGTACTGACAGCACTTCCTGGGCTCTGCTAGGACAGTCTCCGTTTACAACAGCTCTTCCTTCTCAGAAGTGCCCCAGCCTGGAGGATAATATACAGCCATTCTAATTTTAGAGAATGATAGCAGAGAAACACCTTGGGAAGAATCTGTAGGGGCCACACTAAGGGACGAGGGACAGATGTTAGGATGGCATTATTTGTCCTTGTATCTTGCTCCAGGGACTTGGTATATGCCGGGCAGGGAGCTAAGGAGTTGGTGAAGCAGACATCAGAGCAGAGCGGCGTCTGTGGTCTGCGGGCAGGTTGCCTGTGTTGATGCGGCTGTTTCTAAGCAACAGCAGGGTTCAGTGCCCTCTTCATGGGCAGCATATATCAAGAAATAACGGTCCCATACCTGCTTTGTCACTGTTCTGACCAGGCCTCGTCTCTGCCATTGGAGAAGGTCCTTGGGAGCCCAGAGAGAGGAACCCCTCGACTTCCTGCCTGTGGCTTGAGAAGTTCATTCTCAGCCATGTTTTCAGTGTACCACCACAGGCTCTAACCCTCTGCCACTGTAAGCTCTGGAGGCTTTGTTTTCTAAGCTGTCTTGCCCATGTAGCACATCAATAGAAAAGCACCTAGGATAGCAAGCAGCAGTACTTCCAATGCCTGGGCTACCGGAGTGCCTGGACCCCAGAGATTCCCCATTAAGAATCACTTGAGGACTCTGAACATAACACAGCACAGCTGAGAACTGGCTGGGCTGCTGGAGAGATGCTGATGCGAACACAAAAGGCGGGACCAATGTTCAATGCTGCACTTCTCTCCCAACCTGAAAAGTCAATGAAGAAATCTATGTCGTTATTTGTCAAGGCGGATAGGTGCGTTCTTGGCTCTGCTATTGGCATTCATGAATAGCTCAACATTCATCAGTCTCTAACAAGTCACAGGGCAGCACACCGAGAATTAAGCGCCACCCTCCATCTGTTTGCCTTCTGTAGAAGGGCTTCACAATTAATGAATGAAATGTGGCCGAATGCTGGAAGAGACACGGGGTTTGGGCTGATACAGCAAGCCTGCAATTTCTCGCGAGCATGAGTCATCCCTGCTTCAGGAACGAAAGCTCCACCACGGCGGATCCCAGCTGTGCTAACTAAAAGGCTTGGAGAGGTCCCATGCCATGAATTATGAATGCTGTGGTTCTTCCAAGCCCTGTACCCTCAGCTATATATTAGTACATATAATTGGACAGCACACGGACTCAGCTTGAGGGAAGGAGTAAGGAATAAAAGGAGAGCAGCGGATCCTTTACTACAACATCCCCAGCTGTCGTTTCCAGGCTCTGACAAAAAGCAGCGACACGTATCAAATCTGGCTCCCCGGAATTAGAACGGACAAGGAACTGGGCGCACTCAGAGCCTCGCAATGTCCCACTCTAAAGGTGAAAGTCTTAACAAGAATACTAAGAGGGGGCGGTGATGGTTCTCTTCATGAAAAGTGCTCGGATACCGTAAAGAGTCCTGTTTGGAGGCTGGAGAGATGGCTCCTCAGTTAAGAGCACTGACTGCTCTTCCACAGGACCCGTTTGATTTGCACATTTTCATGGCAGCTTACAACCTTCCGGCACTCCAGTTCCAGGGGTTACAGCACCTCCTTCTGGCCTCTGCTGGCACTGCAAGCGTGAGGTGCACAGACATACAGGCAGTGCAGGCAAAACACCCCTACATATAAAATAAAGGGTGTGTGTGTGTGTCATCTTTGAGATTCAATGTATTTTCATCTTTCGTTGTAAAAAGTTCACATTTCAGCTCAACGATTCTGATGCCGTAACGGATTCCATCACTCACGTCTTGGTATTAACTCTGTCTAAAACGAGAGGCCCGCGTGCACAAGGCTAGCTCATATGAGCGTAGTGCGGACGTGTGCAACAGTAATCCTTTACCTAGAACAAGCTTCCCTTTATTTTCGTGGTCCCTCCCGCCGTGTCCTACCTCCCCTCGCTCTGGAGTTTGGTTTACCATACCTGCTCTGAGAAAGGAAATATGAAGCGACAGAGAAATCAAGGGTGTCTTCTTTTACAGTTGGCAATGCCCAACGATGTTCCTTCGTACTGGGACAAACACCAATCTGAGGCTCTGTGCAAATGATTTAGAGTCTTCCAGCTCCTGATCTCCTGGCAGTAAATCTAGGGTCACGCTGCTGCCTCCCAGAGTAGTAAGCCCCAAAGGCGCTCCTATGCAGGGGGCTTGGGGGTGGGGGTGGGGGGAGAAGCTCACTTGTGACCTCCGATGGGTCACACAAAAAGATACCTTTCCAGGTTCAGAAAGTGGAGTCTGGAGTTCTGGGTAGAGAAGCCTGAACATCCATCAAAGCGATTCCTTTTGGGTGTGCTGCGAATGCGTTTTTAAAGGAAACAAAACTGGGAGGAGGTTTCAGACGGTTCAGCTAATTCAGCTAAATGTAGTGGAAGAGGTTAGCATTACTCAACTTTAAAGGCTGGCGCCTGCCCTGGCTAAATCATCAGGCCCCAGCTGCTTTGCAGAGTGGAATACCATCAGCTCTGCTGCCTGGAAGGGAATTGGGGAGAGAGAGCAGCTTGTTCTGCCTGCCTACACCTACCCCTTCAAGCCTCCACCAAACCCGAGTTAGCATTTCTTGTAGGTCCTTTGGATCCCGATTCCATCTACCCAGGGTTGCCCCTTAGTCTACAATTGCTCCCTTCGAATTTGATACCCTCACTGCCTGCCCGAGGGCACCTCTTGGGTCTCATGCCGAGTGCAAAATCCTAGACCCGTTTCCTCTGTCTTCTCGGTCCAGTCCAGGCTAAGAGAGGGCTCAAACGCAGACAAGCAGCACCCCATCTCCTTTCCCACTTCCAGTCTCCTTCCCCAGCCCCCGCAGCACTCTCCGCCAAACATCTGCCACTCACCTGGACCCAGGCACAGCAGAAGGAGCAGCCCTAGCCCGGCCAGGACCAGGACCGAAGGCCGCACAGACGAGATGGCCATGGCGCCAGGACGCGGCAGAGTGGCTGGGGGACGATTGGAGCGGGAGACTTGAGCTCAGCGAAGCAGGCGCTGAGGGGAGAGCTCCGGGTGTCCTTGCCGGGGGCGGGACCCACCGGGTGGGCAACAAGCCAGCAGGCTGCCAGCCAACCTGCAGTTCAATGCCACCGAGGCACACTGTCCTGCAGGTCTGTGGCAAAACGCTGGGAGCAGGGAGCCGCGTGACCAAAGGGTGAGGGCAAGCCAGATGCCACGCACAGACCAACAAGGAATGAATGCTGGCTCCCCAGCCCCGCCGCCGGGGCTGTCTCGGGCAGCATAACCCTCCCTTAGCATCCCAGGCCCTTGGCTCCAGGCTCAAGCCTTGCCGTATAAAGTAGTCTTTGGAATGTCCTTAATTCCTGAGCTGCAGTTAAAGTTGGCTTCTGCAAAGCCTCGTTTTATGTTATTTTGAAAAACTCTGGGTTCTGAGCTCCAGACCAGGAAAACCTCTCAACTAAAGCCGCTCCAGTGTAGAAGCCTTCGGGAGTCTAGTGTTTTTGCAAAGCTGTTAGCAAAGGTAGCGTGTCCCTTGTGCATGCTCTCATCCTGGGACATTTGAGCTATTGGAAAAGGAGGCAGAGGACACTCATGGTCTCAGCAGCAGGCTTGGTCATCAAAAGAGGCCACAAAACAGCCAGTGTGCTCAACAAAAGTGAAGACCAGCTGGAGGTGGTGCAGTCCCGACCATCTTGCAAGGGTTCTACCCCTAGCAGCAGATTCAGGGAGCAAGGACAAACCGTTTTAGCAGATGAATGGGAACTTGCCTTTACCTGCTGTCCCCAGTAAGATTGGCCCGAGCTCCTCAGACTGCTGCTTCTTCACAGAGATGCTCAGTTTTAAATCAAGGAGAGGTGCTTAGTCTCTGGAGAACTCAGGAGCCCCCAGTAAAGCAGAGGGGTTTCTCCAGCAGGCAGGAGAAAAATCAAAGTTTAGCCAGCAGAAAAAAAGAAGAGACAGGTGAACCCGGAAGTTATGTAAATGTAGGTAGGCGTGGCACAGGCATAAGGGAATGAGGGACTTGCAAGTGCATACTGCCAGTGGCCTGATCTAGCAGATGCTGAGTGAGGCCTAGCAATCTGAATGTTGCTTAAGGCTCTCAGGGATGCTGAGAGTATTCATCAGAGGGCACAGAGAGAAATTCCACTACTGAAGCTCACCTGTCCTCTTGGCCTTCCCGTGGCCTCAGGGAGGACAATCTGGAGATTGAGCACAGTGGGGAAGGCTAGGGCTTAGATTCCAGTGTGCTTCTGCATTCCGCACAAGCGTTTAGATGACTCACCTGCCTTTCTTTGATGTGTATCTGTAAAGGGGAGGACCCAGCATCTGCCTTATTGAGGTAAGAAGTCAATGTGGAGAGCCTGGTACGCTGTGAACACTCAAAAATGTTGGTACCATTGTTATCACCTAGACGCTGCCTGGCCTCTTTGTCCTGTGTTCAGTGCCTTGTCGCCTATGGTCTTCCTCCCCTTCTAGCCCAGGCCAGACTCTCGGGAGCCGTCATTCTGGAATGAGGCCAATCCACCCCCAGTGCCACTGTCTGTGGGGCTATCCAGATGCTTCCCGGCAAGATGTCCTTCAGAGCAACACTGGGGTGACCTCTACTGCAACTTCTGGTTCTCAGATGATGTGGTGACAGAGGAGCAGGGGAAGTGCCCTTACCCTGTGGGGTGCCATCAGCCCAGCACTCCACAAGGAAGCTCTGTGGGACACAAAACATGTGACAGAGATGCAATCTAACGCAGCTGTGACCCAATACCGCATCACAAAAGATGGCAAGACAGATGCAATGGTAGAATAAGCCCCGGTCCAGGATTGCCAGTTTTATAAGTTGTTGAAAATGGTATTGAGGGAACCTTTCAAAGCCCTTAGCTCTTACAACAGCAGCCTGTGAGATTTGTGGGCAAAATGGTACAATGTAGGAGGATTACCTTAAAATATTTAAAGGACGAAAGAGATTACTCTGAGGTTAAGGGTATTTTTTCTTTTGCAGGGAACCCTAGTTCAGTTCTAGCACCCACACAGCAGCTCATAACCACCTGTGACTTCAGTTCTAGGGTATCCAACGCCCTCTTTTGGCTGTCTGGGCACCAGACATACATGGAATGCATGTGCATACATGTATATAAAAATACACACACACACACACACACACATCAAATAGATCTTTAAAAGCATTTAATAAAAAGTAATGACAATTACAATTCTTTTGTCAGGAACCCGTGTGCACCATGAGGCTTCAGCTGGGATGTGTATGGAGGACCTAGGTCTGCATGTGTGTGTACTCCTAAAAGCCATACATTGAAATCCTAGTCCCCAGGGTGATAGAGGTGGGTCTCTAAGAGATGCTGTGGTTATGTCCTTAAAAAAGAGCCTCCAGTAAGATCCAGACCACCAAGGGACAGCTTGAGAAACTAGAAATTGAGTTATCAATAAGCATCTATCCTCCTGCTGCCTTGCCCTGAGGTGTGCCAGCATTGAGAACTGCGGGCTGTCAACTTCTGTTGCTCAGAAGGTACCCAGTTTAAGGTATGCTCGTATGCCAGACCTATGAAAGCAAGTTCATCACTTTAGTCTTCTCTGGGATGGGTTTACAAATATTCATTAAACTATAGGACCTCAAATGTGACACCATAGCCATAGAATATACAACTACATGTGACCGCCCCGCCATGCCGTTCAATCACTGAATCTCCTTTCTGCTTCTCCACAGTTTCCTAGGTCGACCTGTACCATTACCGCACTTTGGCCTGGCATTCTTTCCTCATCTCTGCGAGTCAGAACCCTACTCCACAGCCATCTATCACTGCTTCAACAATGGCCCCAGACACGCTGATTTAGAGCCACCGTATTCTTTACTCTTCATGGTCCTGTGGGTCAGGAGTCTGAGTTGGGCTCAACAAGGTGGTTCTGTTTTGTGAAGTGCTGGTGAAGGTCTCACGCATTGCTTGGACGGCAGAGGGACTGAGGTGGACGGCTCCACTCACCTGGTCAGTGACACGGAGCTGGACTCCACTGAGGTGCCCTATTGTGGCACCTCAATTGTGGTGGCTTTAAGCTCCCAGAAGGAACATTGCAAGAGCGGGCCCTCCAGGGACAAGAAAAGCAAGCTGCCATGATTGTCTTAACCTGGAAAGTGGCACCAATCAATTCCACTGTGCTCTGTTGGCTAAGAACCACAGGCCTGGTGGTGAGTGAAAGGTCAGGAAGCTCTTTACCAAAGGAGAATTATCAAAGCAGCCACCTGTCTTTTAATCTGCCATACTCACCAAGCTTCCAGGCTGAGCTCAGGTGCTGCTTACTCAAGAGGCTCTCTCTCTCCTCCCCCTCAGGCTGGATCATCCTTCCCTTTCTCTTCCTGCAAGCCTTCTGCACCCCTGATCCTTTCCCTGCTCTCCCGTAGATTCCTTTATGTGTCTTATTCTCTTTTGCCCCTTGAAAACCGAGCTCCCCGACTGTTCCTCTTTTCAGTCACTGTGCAGAGCCACACTACGAATTCCTAAAGAGTAAATGCATGCCGCCGGGCGGTGGTGGCGCACACCTTTAATCCCAGCACTCGGGAGGCAGAGGCAGGCGGATCTCTGTGAGTTCGAGACCAGCCTGGTCTACAAGAGCTAGTTCCAGGACAGGCTCCAAAGCCACAGAGAAACCCTGTCTCGAAAAACCAAAAAAAAAAAAAAAAAAGAGTGCATCAGTTCAAGACTATGCTGGTATTGTACAAGCGAGGTCATTTGGAATGACTGCAGTTTTGGTTTTATCCATTGGATACCAGAAAAGGATATGGGATATGCAATCATATCTCACTGTATTCAGGACTTGGGGAAGGCAGTAAGTGCTGGGGTAAGAGCCCTGCCACAGACCTGCCCTAGCTACTGGCTAAGCCAGTCCTCCAGCCACATCAGTGTTAAACTTCCTTCTTAGTGATGGGACCTCAAAACCCCTTTCCACTGGTTAAGCCAGTTTCCACGCTGGAATTTTTAATAACTTTTGCCATTTCAAATAATGAACTGAAGCCAAAGGTGGCGAGAAAAAGTTCACTTTAGTCTAAAAAAATATAGAGGCACACAAAGTCCTTATTGTAGAAGGCTCACAAAAGGGTTCTGTGAATGGTGATCATGAAGAGGTGCCCAGGACCCCACAAGCAGGCCTGGTCTTTTAATGTCAGTGCCCAGGATCTCACAGGCAGGTCTAGTCTTTTAAACATCAGTATCCAGGACCCCACAGGCCGATGTCCACCCTGAGTGTCTGTACCTGGGATCCAAGGGCAGATATGATCTCTTAGTGTCCAAACCAAAGGATTCACCAGCCAATGTGGTCTCTTAGTGTTTGAGCGCAGGATCTACCAGCAGATCGACCTACTGGTGTCTGTACCCAGGATCTCACTAGTGGACCAGGCCCCTTAGTGAATGTCAGGGAGAATCCAGAGTCAGGAGACCTGGAGGCAGCCTACAAGCAGCAGAGAAGTAGCCCTTTCTATGCAAGAGTCTTTGGTGACATACGAAAGCTTGATTGGAGCTTGCTTCACACTTTAATTTTCAACATCTGAACCAGGTTCTGAAAACAGATGGACATGGTTTCCAGATGAGATGCAGAGTTCTGTCCACCAGGAAGCCTCATCTCATTTTCCCTGGATGCCTCTCTCCAAGAAGTGGAGGACCACGGTGGAAAAACCACATGGTTCTCCCAACTCCAGAGAGCACAGAACTTTGTATGTACTGTGCATACCTGTAGCTAACTCCATCCCTTACAGGACATACTTTAGGGCTTCTTCAGCTTCTCTGATTTGCCAGCATTTGCTACTCTTATACTCTGAGGGCTTGTATTCAGTAAAATGAAGGCTTAAAAAAAGGAATAAGCTCTGAGATGTCACAATAGTAAGGGTATCACCCAGACAGCTACCAAATGGCTGACAAGATCCACTACACAGAGATGACTCAGATCCTAGTCTGGATGGGATAGGATGTCTCGAGATTTCATCAGATCGGCGTCCAACTAATATGCATCGTTTCTTTCTGAAAGTTTTCAAGGTAATCTTTTTGAGTCTCGGTTGATGGTGAGTGACCAAGATGAGGAAGGAGAGGCAATACATAAGAGGATACTTCCATGAATTTGCTAATGCAACAATAGAATCCTAGAGCGGGGGGCAAT